ATAATTTTCTATCCTATCGGATCCGATGGGATTTTGAAAATTCAGTTTGGAGAATAGCGAAAAATGCATAGTTGTATCTCACATCCTAGCTTAGCATTGATACAATTTTATATCCTATCGGATCCGATCGGATTTTGAAAACTGTGTTCCGGAATTGAGCAAATGGGCATATCTACATGTGTATTTTCTTGTTTAGCGTTGATATAATTGTCTTTCGTGTCGAATGTGATAGATTTTTGAAACTGATTCCTGGAAAGGGCTAGAGATGTGTGCGTATAGAGCTCTGTTCGATAATATTATGGTTAGAATGTTGTATCGTGTAAGATTGTATTGAATGTGTGGAATATGGGTGTGGAACTCTTTGTTGAGGAAGGGATGTATGCAATTTAGTGTCTGTTTTTGCTTTCATCGATTGGTAGGCTAGTTTGAGTATGTTTTTGAAAGGCGATGTTTAGTGTAAAACGCATGTAGTTTTTTAATTCATGAGAATGTGTCGTTAGGGGCGAATGTTTAGCTTTTTTGGCTGGCTTTAGCAGAGATGCTATTATGGGCGTCTGGTAATTTTATGAGGATAGATTGGTGAATAGTATTGTTTGAGTTAGGCTTCGCAGGCGGTTCGTAATGGTTTTGTGTATGTGTATATTAGTATTTCGAATTTGTGTGCATTATTTATTGTGCGTTGAGATGTTTTTTTGGTTTTAAATATGGCATTTGATGGATTATGAACAGTTGGAGCGATTCGGCTTCCGTTAGCAACGTTAGTGTTGGCTGCCGAAAGTGGTTTCCGATCGGCTTCCGTTCCGATAGCTGCCGATCGGATGTCGACAGTAGGATCCGATAGGAATGCCGATACCAGGGATTCCGTCACATTTCCGTAACCGGTTTTCCGGGAAAATCCGATAGGATTCGGCCGAATTTGGTAGGAATCCGATAGGATGCCGATAGGATCCGAGACGGAACCTATCGGATCCTATTATCAGATTGGTCGACCTGGGTAGCTACAAAAGTGTGTGATTGAATCGATATTAAATTCAAATGAAATGATTAAGATGTAGAATTTCCAAAGATATGTAAACAAAGTCGAATATGTTATGACTATCTATCCAACTACTAATGTTTTATTCTTTTTCTCTATCGAATAGATCATTTTTATTGTTTATTCAATTATCTGAATGTCTTAGTTCGTGTTTTTCTATATAATTAATGATAGAAGAACAAAGTTTTGATTTTATTTTTTTTTATTAAATAAATATTAGAAAAAAAAAGATAGATTCGAGTCATTTCCAATGTAAATAGATAACATCGAGTAAACGTTTAATTGTAAAATTTGAAAGTAATTTTTCATATTTGATCATATCTTGAATATTTTGAACAATTTGGTCATCTAATATTGGAAGTTGAAAACATAATGCATGAAGACAATGATTATTAAATCGATTAATTTTCTTGAAAATAATTCGTAAAAATGCTTGAATATCCATAAAATTTATCTGTTCAATTCTAAAATATTCCATATAAGGACAAAGTGTAAAAAGAAAATCAATTTGTTTAAAATGATTAATTTCTTCCAAATAGACTTTGGTAATTTGACTTGTTTCTTTCATTGAACATAAAATAAAAACTTCATTAGCAGTTAATTCAGATGTTTCATCTATTGATAATGAATGAAGTTTTAATGTAGTTAAATCTGGTAAAAGATTAATTGCTTGAATTAATAGATCAATGGAGATATTTTTTTCAAGAATTTCTAAATAATAAATTTGTGTTATTGTTAAAATATATTGAATTTTTTTGAACATCATTTCTATGGATGTATATTGAAGAAAAGATTCGAATGTTAAACAATTAACTGTCGAATGTTCAATATTATATTTAGGATAATGATACCATCTATTACTATAAAAAAAAATCAAGAAAACTTTTTTTTTATTTTCTCGAAAAATAAAGGACCCTGCCGGATTTGTGACCTGGCTAGAACAAGAACGTCCTATATATGGTTTTGTAGAGAATTTAAAGGCGCATCGAATGGTATGTAGAAAGTCCGGTTTTCATTGAGCTTTTATGTCTTAAGGGCCTATATACTGCTCATAGTTCTATAGAACATAGGAATAATGGAGCTATTATGATGCTCGGTAACAAATCTAGGAGTATTTCTTTTTTTAGACATAATTCAATACAGTTATGAATGCTCTTCAATTTTTTATAATCGATAAGTTTCAATGGAATTATGTTATATTTACGGGAGGCCACCTTCATAGGTATAGGCTACTTATTGAGAAAATGACGTTTCAGTGTGCCCAGTCCTGTGCCACAGAACAATTGGGTAACAACGTGAAACTTTCTCAAAAAGTGCACATCATTGGCCTCTACTTGTTGCATAGATCAAATTTTTTGGAACAGTAGGACCTAATTGGTAACGTATACGATG